TCTAAATCTTTAGGATTACATAAAAAATGAAATGGATGTGAGACTCCTCCAATATAAAACTGCATGGCATTGGCATTAATTCCAATGGAAATTGGACCATTTTTAATAAGCCATTGTGCCATTTTTGTTTCATTTGAAGTAATATTTACAGCACCAACAACTTGTACCTTAGCATTTTTTTTAAAGAAGTGGCATTTTTCATTTCTACCATCATAAGGATAGTCTGATTCTAATTCGAGACCACCTAATTTTTCTATAGCTTTATAAGCATTTTCCATATATCCTCCATTACATCCTTCATCTAAAGTATCACAATCTAATAATTCTTGTTCCGATAAAGATAATAATTTTTTATATTTAATCGCGTATTGACCTTCTACATTTCCAGTTACAGAAAATGCCCAACATGATCCACATAGACCTTGATCTTTCACAGGCGTAACTGCATTATAATCACGCCAATCGAATTTAGGTGGTAAAAAAATATCTGATACTTCAATTTTAGCAAGAGGTATTTCATTTTCTTGTTTTAATTCAGGGCGAAATCCTAAATATCGAGTTTTAAATTCTTTAGGCGTAAGATCTGCAAACATCGTAACACCGTATTCAGCTGTTCCTTGCTCAAATGTTTGTAATTCTTTAATAATTTTTAGATTCTGCTTAAAGATTTGAAAACGATTTTGTTTTTCATTGGTTGAACTAAATGTTTTGTTAAATTTTATAATAAAATCTTCAAATAACGTTTCATATTTTATGTTTTGAGCTAATTTTAACATTTTTTGATTATAATTACTACCTCGTAAAGATCGTTTTCGACGATTGTTTAAATCACAATTAATGGTAATTTTTGGAGATCCTTTATCTAGCCATGGCTGAGACCATATGCTGAACAAACATTCTTTAATTTCAGTTCCCTCTTTCAATTGACATTTATCTTTTGTGCCTTTTGGACAATTACTTGTACCTAATTTAACTCTTATTTTATATAAAGATCCAGATACTACTTGCCGTGAAGCATCAACAATTTCTACTATCATAGGTTCATTTGAACCTTCAGAATTTTCTGAAAATTTTTTTAAACCTTTGTTTGCAAATTCTTGTACTGTAGGATCATTAATATCTATATAACTGGGTGCACCAACTAATCCTGACCTTTTGTTTCTATACAAGATTTGTGATTTATTAATTATAGAATCTCTTTTTGTTGGATAAATAATTTCTTCTTGAACTTCATGTTTTTTTATATCCAGATTTGATTGAGTTTCTGTTGTAGGTAAATCAAAATCTTTCAGAAATTCATCAAATTCTTTTACTTTATCTTCAAATCTTTGAATTTTAGCATTATCATCACTTCCGTTAACAGAAATTTTTAAAATAGAATGTTCTGTCACTTCCGATTGTTCTGATTGTTCTGATTTCTTAGTTGTGACATAAGTATAATTATCAAGAATATCTTTTAAATTTTCTAAAGCTTCCAATTTTTCTTTTTTATTAGGTATTGATGTTACAAATGCTTCACTATTTATTGTTGAATGGGAATTAATAATATTTTTCTTAATTTCTGCATCATTATTCAAAGTACAATTGTTTTTTACTATTTTACGGCTAGATTGTTGCCATGGTTTTTCTTCAAATGTTACCAAGCATATCTTAAAAGAAGAATTTAATTGGACAGAGCATTCTGATTGTTCTACTGCATTTTTTAAACAATCAGATTCTCCTATATGTAATAAGATTTGGTATTGTATAATATTAGATGAAGGTGGAATAGCACGAGTTACTTTAACAATATCAATTACTTTGTGTTTAAAGTCATTCTGTATTAATTCATCCATTGATTTTGCTACTTGTTCTCCAAAAGAAATAAATCCAGGTAAATTTGGATTTAGCTCATATGGACATCCTGGACAATAATTAGGACTGGAAGCTCTCATTGCTATAAATGGTCTATCATTATGATCTCCATTTTTCTGAATTTCATGATCTAGTTCAATGCTTTGATTACTAATAACTTGTTTGTCTAAATTTTCAATAATGTGATCCTGATTTTGATTATTTTCTTGTACTTGTAACTGGTCATCTTGTCCAGATTGAGGATACAAATACATACATTGTATTGATTCTTTTAAAACATTTATATCTCCAAGTTCATGTTGTTTTATTTCAATAGTACATGCTTCTCGAGGACAAGGTTCTAATGTTTCTTTACAAATAGGAATTAGATCAAATGTAAGCCTATATATTACATATGGAGATTCTTCCTGAAAGTTAATTAAACAATCTCTTTATAATTAAATTAATACAAATATACATTTTATTCTAATCAATAATAAAAATTTAGATTTTAAAAAACTGATACATAATATACCAATTTTTGCGCGCTAATCAGGTTACCGCCCCTATATGTATGATGCGTCGGAGAATCTTGATTCAAAGAATTCAAGGCACGTTGAATTAAAGGCTCCGGAATATTTTGTACTGGCTTGTTGACAGAATCACAAAATACAAGGATTGGATTAATGATTAGTAAAAATAATAAGCGTGTTTTACGTAGAAGTAAGCCTGCCATCTTAGTGCATACAGAGCACGGTATTGACTTCCAACAATTTTAACTGACGTAATTGATTTTTGGATGAATTTTTATATTCTTTAATATCGTTGAATTAAAAATAATAACAAATAAAAAATAAAAATTAAGTTTTAATCTAATTTTGATCACTTTATTTCTTCCGTAAATATAAATGTTTATGCGATGTATTCGAAAATAACGGATCTCAACAAGAACAACAAATGAGATGATTTAATACATGTAAATAGATATGACAAATTAAAAAAAACTGGTAATCATTTTCATTACAAAAGATATATATTTAACTTTAACTACGAACTCATGTTTTCATAAATATTTTTATTGCATCAAAGATAAGATAAATTCTGTAATTTATGTAGTTAATTTGTATTCTATTAATGTTTAACTTATATTTTATAATTATTGTTATAATATAATGTTTATAATAGTTTCCTGTATTTTCAAAATATAAAAGAATTTTTATTTTATATTAATATCTTAATAAATAATGTTAAAAATAATATTCATATTTATATATCATGTATATATTTATATATTATATATAATATATAAACTTTTTAATATATAAATTTTTTAAATTCCCTAAATATTATATAATATGATTGATGATGCGAAAAAAAGAAACATTTATTATTTTGAACCATTTTAAAATAAAATTTAAAAATTATATTAATGTTACGTAAATATATTTCAATGTACATTTATATTAAAAGTTTATAAATTTCATGAAATACGAAAATAATTATTAAGAATTTACAAGATAATAGAAAGTATTAAAAATATTTCATAAAATAAGTTTGAAATGTGTTTAGCATTATATTAAAATAATTAAACTAATTATATTTATTTGCATTTATTTTACCTAATATATTTTTCCATGTCAAAATAAAAATTATACAATACAAGTTTATAATAAAATTTTCGATATGATAATTAAAAAATTTTAATTGTATTTTTATTAATTTTTTATTATATATATTTTATAAATTTTTTATAATAATATTGCTCATGTATTTCTACATTCAAATTTTCGCGCCATTTTTAAAATTGATGTTAACCATTTTCAAGTTCCGGTTGTCAAAAAAGCAGCAGCTGTTTCACTGTATCGATGTGATCATCAGTAATAACTGCAGTGTCTTAAAAAGTTAATATTTAAACGAATTACGCAATAGTTTTCTTGTGATTTATAAGAATTCATTGATTATCTTTGGTAAGCGAATACAATATTTATTATAACTTACTTCAAATGAAAGTTGTATAGATAGAAATTAACAAAGTTCTTCACCACATTGCAGTGAAGTTGTATCGATTTTCTACTTTATTCTAGCTATCATTTGACTCACATCAAAGTACATATATGTTACTAACTTTAATGAATTTAGAATTTTTAACGAATTTTATTTTTTCATTCTTTTGTTTTGTTATTTTATTTTATAAATTTAATATAGCTATTAATATAGCATATTAAATAGATTAAATTTTTTTCTGTACAAATTATTGTACCTTTGAAAGTTAAATAATTAATTCAATTTAATATACATTATATTTTTTATTCTAAAAATATTTATTATAACAATACATATATATATAATTTAATATTTTATTTATTATAATAGTTATTTTTTAATTTTTTTAAGTTTAAGATTCTTAGTTTAGTTAATTTTAATTAAATTTAATTTAATTTTGGTTATTTGTTAATTTACTTTTCAATTCTTTTTAAACGAACATATATGAAAAATAATAAAATAATTTCAAATATTAAATATTTTAAAAATAGTTGTTTTCTTGAAAAAATATATCTTAGTAACTAATTTTAATGATATTTTGAAATTATAAGATAATTATTAGAATTATTAGAATTTATTAATATAGATAATATAAATAATATATTATTATCTTAAATTAACATTATTACATAAAATGATTCCAGTTTTCATATTTATTTATTGTATGCATATATATATATTTTTCATTATATATTTTGTTTGTTTATATGTTTTGTTTTTTTTCATTTTTAAATAAATTAAATTATAGATAAAACATAAAATTCGTTATTTAACACTTTTGATATGTATCATAATTTGAAAATTATCTTCTTTATATTATTATATTGTATTGTAATATTGTATTTGAAAATCGGCATAATGGATCAGTGGATCTTTAATTATGAATATTATTTTTACATTGTAATAGTTGAATAATTATTTTGGATTAATATTCATTGTATATATAAAATTATTCATTATATTTATATAATTAATCATTAGAAAAATTAATTTTATATTATATATAATTTTTACATTGTAAAATTTATAATTAAAAAAAATGTTTTAATATAAAATACAAATTCCGCGCCTTGAGTTTGCAGTTTTGTAATCTGCTCTTTCTATTGGTGCTTTTCTTTACCGACGACATTTTACCCCCACTATGAATCGAATGCTGTTCTGAAACTCTGCGACTGCTCGTTGCTCAGTAGCTGAGTACTAATCTTCTAGTCGGAGAGAACATAGCTTCGTGAATTTTGCTTACGATTTTACCGGTTTTTTTACACTTTTAGATAAAAAGTGTTAGTGATAATTCTGAAATTTTTTATTTACAATTCTTCACGAACAAGCTGATTATAGAATTCACTAGCAGCGGAAACACCCATCGAAGACAACTTTATTGACGAGTTACGGTTAGTAATAATAGCTAGACCGGTGATACTGCATAGTTTTCTTTTTTTATACTCTATATTACCACGATATTTTAAGAACTTTTTAATATTTCGATTAATTGATATTTTTATTTAGATAATGTTTGAATTTTGTGACAATTGTGTTCAAATTATTAATTTTCTTTTCATGACATTAATATAAAGAATATGATATGAATTGCAATTATCAATTCATATTTATTATGTATATTTATTCAGAGTATTATAAATACTTTTGACTTTCATATGCAAGGAGAAAATAAGAAGCCAAAGAATCATTAAAGATTTATTTGATATTAAATTGATTTTATTGTAAATTTATTAACTTTCAAATTAGATATTTAATATTTAATGCATGTAGTACAAAAGATATATATGTTCATGTTATATTTTTTTCAAAAAATCTAACAATGATTGATATATTTGATATGACGACATAAAAATTATTTTACGAAATATTTTACTTATTTAATTGCAATCTTTATATTTATTCCAAAGTGTGGAAAACATCGCGTTAACGTTACCGTCTTGAACTACTTATTTTATTTATTGATTTCTTAATGTCATACGTATGCGCGGTCTATTTAATACATATATGAAATTTTGCAAATACATATTTTCTATTTGTTAAGCTGATAATAAAATTAAATAGTTTATATCACTAAAAATGATAAGCATTTTGAAAGAATAATTTTTGAAACTTTTTTTACCGGCGTTAACAGCTGAGCGTCATTGATGAAAAACATCCGAGTATATGTATATATGATAAGAGGGCGCTGGCGCGCGCATGCACACATACGCATGAATGTATGTGCGAGAAGGACAAGGGAGCATGTATGACGTCAGAAATATTAGTATTTTATTTTTAATCTTCAATCTAAGATAGAATACATAATGTAATGATGCATTTATGAATCATAAAATGCGAAAATATTCAATTTCTTTCCTCTTCTATGATTATTATTTTATTTATGATTATTATTGTTGTTTAACTTTTAAATAAAATTAATAATTTTATTGCATATAAATTACACAAATATAAATTGAATTTTATATACTATACTATATATAAAATATTGTAATATAATATATTAAATGTCGAAGAAAAAATTAACAGTCATTCAACAGCATAATTGAACTTTAACATTAAAGATTTGAGAACATTTACATCAAATTCATACATTGTATATTTTAAATAAAATTTTTTTTTCAATTTATTATTGTTAATTAACTTATTCATTTTTTCGTAAGCATTAATTGCTTGGTATGACTCTACAATATTCGTTTACATAATTAAAACATTAATTATGATTTACATTTGAGGAACATCAAATCTCAAATTCAACCACTATTCTAAATAGGAAGATGTGCGTCAAAACATGCATCGAAACATTCAAACAATGCGTAGTTTGTATATATTCATGTACCTGTATGCATGCAAATTGAAGTATACATCGTGATATGACCGCATTATTTTGCCGGCAGCCGGCACGGCACATTGGGCTGCGCGATCGACATTTCCTTCAAAGTGTATCTACACATATATCTATCTTTCCACGTGATCACGATATCGTCTTTGTCATTTCACACAATGTCAGTCTTGATATGTATTTTTTGCTATTGAAAATAGTAAATGCTTCCGTATTGGATATTCTATCAAGGAATCTAGAATTACGACATAAGTTGCAACGAATTATAATTTCATCATAAAATTTACGCTATTATTTCGATCATCAATATTTTAATCGTTCAATATGTGATTTAAACTTGTGTAAAATCTATTAGAAAGTTAAACAGCAAATATTTGGATAAATATGAGTTAAAAAAACAATGCATCGTATATATAAATCGACTAATAAATTTATAATTATTACGAAGCTTTTTAATCAAGAATCTGATTCACGTTTCGTTATACGAATCAATACTATAAAAAAGTCTGTTTCGCAACAACGTTCAAAAGTATCGTTGATATTGATACGTTCGAATGCACGAATGTTTGAATGTTCGAGAAACATTTTTTTAGAAGTCTCGTATTGATTTCTAAACACGATTTCTTCCGAATACTCTTCATTTTTTTCTCTTATCGAACACCAATATCTGTTTGTTTGCGATTTGAGAGGGTATACAAGCGGTATCCTCCAGGTCTGTAGTCGCCCGTGATCTTGGCGAGGTGCACCGTGACCAGGAGAAACGACGCGATACCTTTCGCCCTGGAAACGAGCCAACTTCGTCTCGAGGGCAAGGACAAACTCAGTCAATTGATCACGCCATAATTTGTGCGAAACGTTTATAGAACTTGGTTTAATTTTAACACACGTTTTTATTATCTTTTTACGAATGAACTAGTTTTCCTGAAGGATCGTGGTGCATGTCTCAGATCTTTCTCTCGCTTCATAGCGGATATCTATGCTTCTCTGTTCATTACAGTTCATTTGTCAGCAATTAAATTTACAAGTGCCAATTACTAGGCTCTCACGCTGTGTTTTAATGCATTAACAAGGTGCACTTTGAACTGTTCACGAATCATGTTCTTGAATCTTTTTCAAGAGATAAGACCAATATGATGCAATGAAATAAATTCGATGCAATCATTTTCGAATAATAGATCAATTATAAATATAATCTTACGTGTGGAAAACTATTTGAATTCTAATCGAACATCAAGAAAAATAATAAAAAGGGAACAGATAAATGTATCGAAATCGATATTGCATCCGATCGCTGCAACTTTTGACAAAAGTTCAATATCGTTCGCACGATGAAAATCTTTCCATCGGCCGCTGAAACTTCTGCTTAGGATAGCACGGAAATCCCCCGGGAGATTGTCGAAAGCATGATACAAAAAAAAAAAGTTAATTTATAGAAACGCATCAAGGCGGATGCGTTGGTGTGTAACCTTTTCAACGGTGTTTCTCAACCTACATACGTTGCAAGAGATCCCAGCTGATCGGTTCTGGTGCTGTGAGGATTGAAAAAGTGGTGGGTGGTCCGTTGAGGCGGTAGGTGTGCGCGGAAGGGGTCGGTTATAGGAGGGTTGGAAATACAGGAAGCACGGTGAGAAAGAGAGAGGAGAAGGCGCGGTCATGTGCGTCTGCGCGCGATTCGGTCGGTGGGTCGGTCGGTCGGTCGGTCGGTCGGTCGTTGGGTATTGATTTTCGCAGGAGCACCAGCATACACGTAACTCTACCACGTAAACGCGTATACATGCATCCACGACGACTGACTGGCTGGCAGCTTTTGCCAAATATCTGCGTAAAATTTCGCAATCGCAGATTCTCGACACGCTAAATCGACTCATTCCTGTGTTACGCCTTCGAGAGAATAGCTAGCTCTCTCATTGATCAAGTACAGACTTTTTATTAGCGTTCCCTGTGCATCTCGTTTTTAAAAGTACGTCATACGCGATTGCCGTTTATTCTATATTTTTTCTCTATTTTTCTCGAGAATTTTAATGCGTATGTACATTTGCTGGGTATTTGGTTTTCTCGGTCCAGCATGTACGCTAAATGAAACGTAAATGAATAATAATGAAAAAAACTTTGATAGAAACTGTTTTAAATTTCGTCTTATGCCTTGTTATTTAGATTCGTTTAAGATAATGAATAAACTGGATATAAATTAGATGGATGATTCTAATGATTTAGAATCTATGAACAAAACAAGTTGTAATTTATCTTTTATCCTTTAATGTTGCAGAACAATCGAGTCTCCATAAAAGGAGCTGCGCGAGCTGCAGAGCGAACGAAGAAGGGCGATCGTAGAAGAAAGCTAATCGTCAGGCACTCAACAAGATGCCTGCTCCAACATCAGCACCGGGTACGGTGGAGGGCCCACCTCGCACTGAATTGCAGGAATTACAACTAAAGGCCGATCAAACTACAGATGAGGTATGTCTATTAATATTCATTTTGATAGAATTTTGCGATAATTTTTTAATAACGTCTTATTTAATTTGTAACGCATATTATAGCGATTATTATTTTATAAATATTTCGAATTTCTTCGTTTATGCGTGGAAAAACTCGTATAATTTGAATATTAAAATTTTTTTTTGATATTTTAGTATTGCGACGCGTTGCTTAATCCACGTGACTTGTTCTGTTTCAGTCCCTGGAAAGTACAAGGCGTATGCTGGCATTATGCGAGGAGGTGAGTTCATCTCATCCCTATGAAACTATTCTCTTCTATTTACGCATTAACCTTCATCCTCGATCATCCTCGGTACTAATCCTCGATCCTCGTTACTATAGCGATTTATTCCCGGAGTTCTTACTCCCAGATTTTGTCTCGTAAAATATTATAGAAATTTAATATCGCTGGTAAAATCGTTGCGTGTTGCATCACGGCAAAGATGGGCGTCATAGTCAATCCTCGTTGAAGAAACAAAGTAAAAAAAAAAAAAAAAAAGGAACAAAGTCATGCAAAAAAAAAGAGATATAATGACATAAAAAAATGGAACGCTGGAGAGAGACGGGCATAATACTATTCAGTCAAATTAGAAACTTTGATATTGTGTACATGTATATCTAAGTATATGTATACCTGTACGAGAGAAAATGAAGTGGCGTTTTATGCAAATTACAATAGAATGAACACAACGCGAAGATATTTCAACGTATGATGAAAATAATCAGATTTATGTGGCGTTATGCAATCATGAAATAGTATTTGACCCAGCTCTGGCTCCCAGAAATATTCTTCGTTCCTATGATACTTGTTATTATGTATATTTTGAACAATATACAGTCAACGGAAGTAAATGATAGCCATATCCATCGGGGTATTATGGCTTTGTTTGACGCGAATTTTTTTGTGATGAAAACAAAAAAAAAAAAAAGAAGACATTTTCCTCTTAAAGAAAAAGGGGAGAAAACAGTATCGCACGGGTGCCAAGCAATATCTATATGTTTTATATATTTATATGTGAATATACTCGGAAGAATTGTAAGACGACGCATCGACGCGGTTCGAGACGGTAATCCGCAGCACGAATGCACGCGATAACAGTAATGTTACATCACTGCGTTTATTTCGTGTTAATTTCGTCTAAAATTAACTATTTCATCACATGGGAAATATGTCTTTTTGAAGAATCACGAGTGAAAACAAAAATTATCAAAGTGATACATACATACATATTTATATATTGTTCTAAATGAAACGCGTGCGTTCGTGTGCGTGTTTTCGTGTACTCTTGTCTACGTTCTTCAGCTCCGCATTTTTCTTCCCATGCATAATTATTATTCGTTGTCTATGCTCGTATCTTGGATATCTATTCTCGATATATGTACGTCTCTAAGTGTGTGCGAAACTATTACTGTGTATATCCGATGTCTTCATTCTTTTCCTGTTTAACTTGTTACTAATTGTCGAAGGAGCAAACGCAATCTATATCTATATATAAGTAAATTAATTTGTCTTTTTTTTTGTCCTTAATCTGTAAATCCATTTTGTACTTTTAAAATACAAATAATAAATGTTTTTTTTTATTTTTTTTACAATCCATATCCGCTTTAGATTCATATCAAATATTTCTCTACATCACGCAGAATTTAAATTTAAATTCAATACAAATTTGCCCGAATGATCGTTTAAAGTAATTAGAATGCAATGAAGATTAAAAGGTAAAAGATTGCGTCGCTCCATTCCAATTTCTTTTGCTACTTATCTGTGGCTGCACTAATTAGCACGTGTCGCATTTCGAGCACTGGAGACTTCAACAACTATTTAGTGTACGTACATACTTCACACGCGGGATATCATTGAAAGAAACCTGCCCATATCTAAATATACGTATATACAGGGTGTCTCAAAATTGATGACACAAGCAAACAAAAGTTAATTCATATAACAAATCTTTTAATCCGGCTTGTGTCGTCCATTCTGGAACATCTTGTGTATATCATATATTTATATATGAATATGTACGAAATTGCTGTCAAATCGATATTGGTCGAGTTATTCGAAGCTTGGAAAGGATTCGAATGTACGAACCTGAACAGCGGGGGCAGTCGCAAGTACGTTACGAAAATAATTAAGGGAAAACGAAAAAAAAAAAAAAAACAAAAAAACAAGAAATAGTACTCTTAATGCTGCCAGTGGTGGAGGATATCTTTTTTCAGCAATGGTGAATTCCAGCACGTGTGCATTGGGTCTTTTGGAAAGGACGCTATGGAAAACAGAAAACGCTTTTGACACGATACGAGATTTAGAAGGAATGAAGGAACGTCGATGAATGTGCGGTACTATTTAAACAATTTCCATCGTACCGTGTACATTACGTATACGTAGAGATGGCGTGCTTCAATCTTTTTATACGTTGCGTAGAACATTTTTAATGATCACGATCATAGCGATTAAGATAGAGGGTAAATAGGACTTTTTCTTTTTTTTTGCGTTTTCTTCTCTCGTTATCTCCATTTCTCTTTCTCTAGATTTATTCTTCCTATAGATTCCAAGAAATAGTACTCTTAATGCTGCCAGTGGTGGAGGATATCTTTTTTCAGCAATGGTGAATTCCAGCACGTGTGCATTGGGTCTTTTGGAAAGGACGCTATGGAAAACAGAAAACGCTTTTGACACGATACGAGATTTAGAAGGAATGAAGGAACGTCGATGAATGTGCGGTACTATTTAAACAATTTCCATCGTACCGTGTACATTACGTATACGTAGAGATGGCGTGCTTCAATCTTTTTATACGTTGCGTAGAACATTTTTAATGATCACGATCATAGCGATTAAGATAGAGGGTAAATAGGACTTTTTCTTTTTTTTTGCGTTTTCTTCTCTCGTTATCTCCATTTCTCTTTTCTCTAGATTTATTCTTCCTATAGATTCCTTTCCCTTAGTTTTTTTTTTTTCTTTTCTTTTCTTTTCAATTCTTCTCGATCTATCCAACTTTTTGATCTATTTTTAAAGCCTTTGCGACAAATATGGCGAACAAATTTCTTCAAATACTGGCAATGATGGTTAATATCATTGTGAAACGGTCGAGAAGAATCCGTTCGTTTAATGTTCGGAATACGAACTTATCGAAAAAATATAACAATCCTTTTGTATGTACGTGCACAATCCTCTTTCAGTTGCTTCCGTCTTCTTCTTCCACTTCCTCTTTTCTGTTTCTCTTTATCTGTACTTCCATGCATTCTATGTGCATTTTTCTTTCCTATTATGAATCACGTTTTAGAAATATCGATTCGATGATCGGTAAAACTTGCGTGAGTAAATTCTTCCCATTTTGTCACGGATATGATCTTTCATTGAAATTTCAATTGAAAAATATTATAATATTCTTTTATTTTATACGGAATAAAATCGATTTGTAATTAAATATCGAGAAGAAATATTAAAAAAAAAATATATATATATGCCGATCGTTGAATCGAGAAGAAAAGGCTCATCCCAACTGGGAGCGTGAAAATCTCTAGGAAACGCCTATGATTCTCCTCCAATAGTTTCTCAACCAATTGTCTATTAGAGGCTGATCAAGACAGGTAAATAACAGTATAACGACAGCTCTGATCTCGACAATGAAAAAAAAAAAAAAAAAAGGAAGAAGAATCTCGATTTTTTGGAAGTGTTAATCGAGAAAAGAGCGCCGCGTATACCGGCAACCTCTGTCGCTGCTACCAGTGTAATCCGTGTTGCTGGCTGAACCGGGCATTTATCGATATTGTCCGTGTTGCTGGCTGTGTATGTATGTGTTCTCACGTGTGTGCGGTGTGTGCCCACGTGTGTGTTTGCTTGCTTAAAAATTCGACAAACTAATACACTCGCTTGCTCGATCGCCCGCCTGCCTGCTATCGCAAACTTCCTGAAAGTTTACACCGTAATATCGGCGACTAGTCACTGGTGTCCAGTGGTGGTCTCTCGGATCGTCAATCATTTCCGTAACCAAAATATATTTCAGTCGATTAATTGCAAGATCGATTGCAAGAGATTTTTCGTATTTGTATCACTGGTGTACCTTTTACCTTCCGGAAGAACTTTATTGCCTATTCGCTTGCAAAGTTTACGAAGCGTAAAATTTTTAAGGGGGCGACACACGATAACGTCGTCGTGTAATAACATCCAGATTTGTCACATTCTGGAATATATGGATCGTTAGATATTTTTCTCTTCTCATGATATCGCACGTCTTCGCGAACTTTGCCGCTTATCTGCCTTGGCTGTTTGGCTGCCTGTGTGTGTTTGCCTGTCCTCCGCGAGAACACTCTTCATTTTCTCTTTCTCTCTCTCTTTCTCTCTCTTTCTCTATTACTATATCTCTCTTTCTCTTTCGATGCATCGTGCTGTCACTTTTCTGGCTCTCCGTATCATTCTATCGATACTCCGTTGCGCACAAACCACGTTCACTCACAGAAACACGGCTCGCATACGAGGGATTCGCAGGCGAAGAGAGAGGTGGCTGGTTCGTGATCGAGAATTACCATCGATCGGGGTCGACTTTTGATCGATTCCAGGGACACAAGCTACGTCGCTGTTCGTTCAGAGTCACCGAACCCATGTGAATTTATCACGCTATCACCTTCTCGTTTCTTCTCGTTTCTTTCCTTCCTTCTTTCTTTCTTTCGTTTCGTTTGCTTTCAATCGTGGATTCAAGTTAGCTATTCCAGTCGATCGCTCTCGTCTTGTCTGCCAAGAAGATGTCGTTCACTTGTCCATGCATCATCCACCGCCGTCGCCGCTACCACCAACCACCACCAACCACCACCGCCACCACCATCACCACCACGAACCACCGCCACTACCACCACACCGTCATACCGACCGATCGAACTCCCCTCACTCGTTACTCTTTCTTTATTATGCACCTGAATATTCGCCAAGAGTATTTACCCGAGAGAAGAGTGGAACAAGGAATAAAAAACATTAGAGATAGAAGATAAATGAACATCCGGTAAATACTCGGAACCACATATTATAACTTTAAAATTCAACGGCTCGCTCTATCTCGTTTTGATTTCTTTCTCTTTTCTCTGAAAACTTCATGCACATTTCCTACGTGGATGAATGCGCACCGCTTCTCTTTCAAGCTGTACGAGGAAAGGAGCAAAGAACTTCTTTTGTTTCCGTTCTCGTGACCGACTAAATAAAAGCGTTCCAGAAAAGCTCGCCCGTAATTAGTTCCGCGGCCCTACGCGGTC